GTTTAACTGAAGTAAAACGGGTTTTCCCCTTGCTACGGATGTCTGCCTAGTTCAGTTTAGCCACATTCCGCTACAGTTCGCCTTTATTATCAGTTCGAAATGGGGTGGTTCCATAATACCCGCAGTGTTCCATAATATCACCTTCTCCTCTATATTAACAAGTAGTTTGGTTTAGACACCGAGAAATTAATAATAAACACTGATTAAATGAAAAATATCTTTCGCTTTGTAGTTCACGTCTCTCTCGAAATTTTCTAACAAATGTTTATAAAATAATTTATATTTAAAACTCACCAATAATTTATAATTTACCTTTATTTATTTCTAGGTATACCTCAGTACACGAAGAGGTTGTTGGGTAATGCACAGAGTGGGAGACAACGGAAGACCATTCGACGAAATCTTCACTACTCGATTTCTAAATATATTATTCAATTTGGTTCCTCTCAACATATCGAGCTGGTATATGGAAAGATATTTGAATAAGGCTTTCGATCACGAAACTTACCAGTTAAAGCCCAAACACAGATTCTTTCAGCAACATCCCATGGTTAGCGACGCATTACCAAACAGAATTTTGAGTGGTACGGTCACGGTCAAAGGGGATATCGAACGTTTCGAAGAAAACGGAGTACTTTTCAAAGGAGACTCCGAAGTCACCGAAGTAGACCACGTCATTCTGGCCACCGGATACCAAATTAAGTTTCCTTTCTTGGATAAGAAGATAGTAGACACCACGGATAATCGAGTAGAATTATACAAGTTCGTATATCCTCCGCATCTGAAACATCCCACTTTAGGCTTCATGGGTTTGATAGAGTCTGTAGGAGGCGACTTTCCCATCAATGAAATGCAAATTAGATGGTTTGTTCAAGTTCTAGTGAAGAAGGTTCTTTTTCCCAGCGAAGAAGAAATGAGAAAAGACATCAAGAAACAGTTGGAAGCAATCGGAAAGCGTTACTACGATGCAAAACATCACACCATCCAAGTGGATTACATCGATTACTTGGACGAATTAGCTTCGTTAATCGGAGCGAAACCCAACTTCGTGAAGATGTTTTTCACCGACCCAAAGTTATTTTGGGCATTGATGACCGGTCCGAGTCTTCCTTATCAATACAGACNTTTATGGATAAAATAAAATCTTGAAATTCGGTAAAAGTCACGCGCTTCAAATACACCGATCGAGACGCGCGACGTCGCATATTAGTTCTGTTAATCTCATCCAGTCTGTTAAATACAATCACGTACAAGCGTACAAGCGAGTATTTATTTTGTTTTTATATCATAATTGATAACTCTTATTATTTATTTACAATTTAATTAGACTACCGTAGCAATAATGGATATGTGGTTGAAAACTGGTAAGCTCCATTGCACGGATTGCGGAACTAGTTTCGCTACTACTGTTGATAACGAACCAGATGTTATTACCAAAAAGTTGTCTGGTAATTCGGAGTTACCCGTTTGTAAAAAGCGGAAGTATAATGAAGAATACATAAAATTTGGTTTTACACGGATGGGTGATAAAAATGAACCAAAAAGGTTACGCGTCGAGTGCGAACGTGTGACGCGCAATAGCGGTTTAAATCCCGCAAAATCGAAAAGACATTCGGAAACAAATCAACCAACTTTACAAAATAAAAATGTTGAGTATTTTAAAAGAAAATGGAATGAGTCGAAGAATAGAAAAAAAGACAAAAAAGTCCTTTATGAACTTTGTTAAAAACGATCGTGATAATGCTTTGGAAGTATCGTATCGTGTCAGTTATGGTAATGCTCAACAGGGCGAAGCTTATACGATGGCTGAAAAATTAATTGAGCCACGCGTAAAAGATGTAGTTACTACCACGATTGGGGAAGAACGCGCTAAATTAGTCGATCGTATCCCCCTTTCGGATACTACAGTTTAAAGGCGTGTTAAAGATACGTCTATTTTTGTGAAAATGAGCTCGTAAGACATTCGCCAGCTTCCGAACACGGATTTACTATTCAACTCGACGAAACTACAGATATAGCTGGATTAGCCATCTCGCTCGTTATCGCGAGATATATCCGCGGAATGGCTACTCGAGAAGATACGCTAATTTGTAAAAGTTTGCCAACTGGAACAACTGCGTAAGAAATTTTTAATTTGATAAATTCATATTTCAAAAAGCAAGATATATATGGGGATTTATGTCATCAAGCACGTGCCGATGGAGCCGAGGCAATGCTCGGTAAATTGAACGGCGTAGTCGCACGCGTGAAACAAAAAAATTTTCAGACGAGAAGTACTCATTGGTACTAATTGTCGTCTTCGTCGACGGGCTTTGGCAGTGACGAAAATGCCAGAAGAGCTAAAAGACGTACTTAATGATTGCGTTAAAATTATAAATTTTATCAAATCAAGACCATCAAATTCGAGAGTTTTCAATTTATTGCGTGAAAATATGGGAAGTTTATATAAAACACTACTGTCGCGCGCAGACGTCCGTTGGTTAACTCGTGGAAAAGTGTTAGCAAGGTTTTGCCAATTAAAAGATTAAATAAGAATTTTCTTATCCGAACCTGCGCCTCAATTATAACAAAAATTAAATGATGCAGTTTGGATTCAGAAAATGGTATATCTAGCAGATATTTTTACCTATTTAAACGAGCTCAACGCGTGGCTCCGAGGAACAAATATCAATATTTTCAGGGTACAAAGTAAAATCGACGCTACTCTTTTAAAATTGAAATTTTGGGTAGTTTGAATGCTTTCCTAATTTGCACAATATTTTAGTAGACGGTAACGCTAATCTCGATAAAAATGTAAAAAATAATTTGGTCCAACATTTATAAGATCTGCAAAAAAACTTTTGCCAATGCTTTCTTGTTCAAAAAGAAAAATTATCTCGAATTGAAAATCCTTTTCGAGACTGCCACACCTCCGAACTCCATATGAAAGAAAGAGAAGGACAAATTGATACGTCGACCGACACTCGATTGAAACTAAAATTTAATCGAATTGATATTATGCATTTTTGGATCGACATTAGGAACGAATATCCTGAAATTGCCAAAAGAGCCGCGAAACATTTAATGTCATTTGTATCGACCTATATATGTAAAAAGTCTTTCTCTTTGTATGCAGCCACAAAAACAAAACACAGAAACTGATTAAATGCCGAAGATGACGTTAGGTTGCGGATTTCGACAATTATTCCCGATGTAAAAATGCTTTGCGATAAAAAATAACCGCAGTCGAGTCATTAAAAGAATTTTCTTTTCATTAATTTGTTATAATATAAAATATTGTTCCTTTTGTTAATTATTCATAAAATGTATTCTAGAAAATAAATAAAATAAAACCCCATTCGCTACCTGACTATTCGTTGTTTTATTAAGATGTTTGTATTAAGATTAAATAAAGATACGAGAATAATTTTGCAAATTTGAGTAGAAAAAAGCTTTGATAAACTATTTTATCCGCTACTTAAACACGAGGTTCCTTCGAGAAAACCCTGAGCTCGAAGGGTTCCCGAAAGTGTAAAAGGTTGAAGGCCCCTGTTCTAGACGATAAAAGTCGAAAACGTCCTTTGAAATTTCCTATTTAGTTTCTCGCTCTGGTTTTATCGTTTATTTCTTTCTCAAAGTTTCGGTAGAAAATAATGATACGAAGCCCTGTCGATATTTGAAACAGAATTTGTAGCAACATTCGTAATAAATTATTTTATTTATTCTACTTTTAATCAATCCAAACTTTTCTGATAATCACCGCTTTTCTGTTAGATAATAAATATTAAAAGTGCATTGGTAGGGATGTATACTCGTCCATGTTTATATTTTCTGCTCTGGTTTAAAACTTCCAGAGCCCCGATTCAACCAGATAACACACGTGATACGATCTGTATTCGCCTTATCATATTCTGATAAAAAAACCGAATGTAAGCTTAAAACACGACATAAAACCTGTCGAAGACCAGTATATCCCCATTAATACTAACAACTACAGGAGAATCACGCGGGATTAAACATGCGTGTAGCCGTTGTAGGTGCGGGTGCTTGTGGCTTAGGAGCCATTAAAGGCTGTAAAGAAGAAGGTTTAGACGTAGTTTGCTACGAGAAAACCGACAATATAGGCGGTCTGTGGAGATACAGAGACGGCGACGAAGAGGGTTTGGCTTCGGTTACAAAATCCACTATCATCAACACCAGCAAAGAAATGACTGCAATCAGTGATTTTCCACCTCCAAAAGAGTATCCAAATTACATGCATAACTCCATGATGTTCGAGAATATTTGCCTGTACGCGGAGAAATTCGATTTAATGCCGCACGTCAAGTTCCACCATCGAGTGGAGAGGATCGTTCCGGCCGACGACTACGATTCGACCGGCAAATGGACAATTACAACAGTAAACTTGAAGAGTACAGAGGAGCGAGAAGAGACTGTCGATGCGGTTATGGTATGCACCGGCCATCACGTGTTTCCAAATATCCCTACTTTCCCCGGACAGGAAAAGTTTAGAGGAAGCATCACTCACACTCACAGTTATAAAACACCGAATGAATTCGAAGGAAAAAGAGTCGTAGTGGTAGGAGCGGGAAATTCTGCAGGCGACGCCGCTGTGGAGACCAGTTCTGTCGCTCAAAAAGTAAAAATTAAAACTTTTATAAGTTATTTATTTACTATAATGTATGTCATTTTTCATTTTACCTGATTTATAGGCGTTTTTACATATAAAGACATGCGCGTGTTGAAAGAAGCTCATTATGACCCGTAATACAGTAGAGCGTCGTTTATCCGAAACATCGGTTAACCGAAACCATTCCAGTCGGCAAATTTAAATTTTCGCTAGTGCTGTAGCGCTGCAATCTTTGACTATATCTTGGGCTACTCCAATATTTTTTTTGTTGGTGTGTGTGTTTTAGCTGGCAGCACTGGCCCTTTTGTATGGTGTTTTTCTGAGGACTGTGTGTGGTGCCGAATCGAATGTTTTTGATACTAGATCAGGGGTGGCCAACCTTTTGCATACCATGCGCCAATTTTTTGATAGACGAGTTCACATGCGCAGTGGCGTACCGTGAGTGTTAGCAGCCCGGGGCGAAAAAAAATTTCGGCCACCCCTTATTTAGGTATTTCAATTTATAAGACGAAAGTTCAGATTTGCCACAGAACAAGCAATGAAAAATGCGGTTGTAGTGTAGCTACCCGTATAAAATAGTTCTATATGACATCAGTGGTGTACATGAACACGAATGCATCGTGTAACGTACAAGCAAAAAAAAAAAAA